TGAATTAATAATTAGACACTGGATAAAGTGTTGTATACTTTGTAACATCCGATTTGATGTGCTATCCATCTACTATCTATGTCCTATCATACTCCTGTTGGATGAACCATCCACCAGGCCTTCCTAAAGGGTTTAGGATAGTAGAATATGGTATTCTCTGGCCCAGTGCATTGTATTCCTCTGACTTGGCTGTTTTGAAACCCACTGTGTTAGTGCTGTTAGTAGCCATTGCTTTGGGTGCACGACATGTCAAGCAGATGTGAGAGGGGAAGACATCTAGGGACACACCCAGTCAGAACAGGTCACCTCAGTCCATCAGACACCTAGAAATCACGATAATGTAATAGCTAGTCCCTTTTCTGGCAGTTTTCCTCAGTCCCACGGCTAAATGCGTGGCTTTTGTTCCCTGCCCGATGTCTAATTGACGGCGGCGTGAGCTGGGCTGAGTTCCCAGGACTCTCGTGAGGGATGTGGGAACGGTTGGCTCCCTGCCCGCGGACTGATGGTCAAATTGATGGGCGCCTATCGGGGATTTCAGCGTCACCCCGGTAACCAAGGTGACGGCTGATCCTTATCATGCGGGGTAGTCCACTTTGTCAGTTGGGGGTGTAAGTTTTTTTATGTTTACCGAAACATCTTGTTTTTGCTCAGTTTTTTTCTTCCTCTTCTCCAAACAGTGACCTCAATGACCTGAACCAACGTTACGTCTGTTACCATGGTAACTAGTGTTGTGTTACATCAATCATGTTGCAATTTTATTGCAGGAGGGATTTAGACTCCTGTCTGACCATATATGAATGTGTTTGAGTTTACAGAATAAAAGAGAATTAGAGAATTAAAGAATTAACAGAGAAAGGGACGGACGCTTAAAAACACAGCATATTGATAACGTATGATATTTGAATTTGCGCATTGATTTTCATTGAAATTCTTAGTACAAAACTTCATAAGTATTTATGATATTGTATCTATTTATGTATCTATGATACATCGCTTCAGTGGACACGAAAGGCAGGTGTAAGATTAAAGAGTGTGTACTGTTTCTTCCGTCCTCAGTTGAACTTGTGGCCGTATAAAGAAATATGCCTACGGAAGCCATCCCACACACACGTAGCCAATAACCGAAGGGATTCTGTAATATCAGACCAGCCTTGGGGGACTCAAAAGTTCAAACGTTACGTGATCTGGACATCTTTCTTGTCGCTCTTTGAAACCCGAACTCCTGTATTCAGTTTCTAATAACCCTCCTCAGCTTCTAGCTAGCCTTCACCTTTTCATACATCACAACGGTTTCTTACCTGTCGCTTAGAAGATTTCATCGCAAGAAGATTTCATAATACTAGTACTTGGACAAGTAATTAGGAACAATAGAAGCCAGGGAAACTGTCATTTTCATAAAAGAACGCTGAAATGTGCACACAAGTAAGAATGTGCGCCCAAGAGCTATCTTCCATCCAAAATTCGTGACCCTAGCATGTCTAGCGAGATATCAAAACCGGAAGTTCTGCTGCAGTACCTAGGAAAGCCGCCAGGGGGGCTCAAAATCTAATCATTTCTAGGTCTCATCAACGTTAACACCTATCCACCTTCTAACTTTCATGACAATCCATCTTGAGTTATCGTGCTAAACCACCTACACACACACACACACACATACATACATACATACATACCCACATACAAACGCTATGGAAAACATAACCTTCTTGGCGAAGGTAATAACAACACAGCCCAACATCTTGTACCCTGAGGCTGTGACACAGAGGAGGGAGAGTCGTTATTGATTGGGAGGGGCTGGGGGTTTACAAACCAATCCTGTCGACCGTTATCTACACTTTATCACTCCATCTCAGAACCAGAACATTCACCGAATGGCTCGCATTGCTGCCAAACGCAGACACCGTGCAGGATTATAAAATGTAACGCTAGTCCTTCTGCCCTCACTCTACCTTTAGCCTCCTGGCAGGCCTCCGGGCGGGTGTAAGTTTTGATACTGCGGTTTCGTAGGATTTTTAACACGTTCTTTTGCCGGCCATCCTTCAGCCAGACGCCCAGAGAAGGTCGACAGGTACAAACCTTCTCTCTGCGGCTAGCTGAAGGATGGCCGGCAAAAGAACGTGTTAAACTCTACAAAACGCAGTATCAAAACTGCCACCCTCTCGGAGGCCTGCACAGGAGGCTACATTATCAGATCGAGAGTGGTAGCATTTTTGGGACTGGCTGATTCAGAGGTTTCGGTTTTTTGGCGTGTTTTATGCGTTTTATCTTGAACTGGTATCGTTTTTACGCAAGGCAAATGGTAACTCCCTGGCAAATGGATATCGTCTGGTCGTTTTTACAGCCACCAAAATATCTGCTTGGAGATTAGATATTACAGAACATCGACGATTGGTCTGTTTTTGCGAGCTTATGTCAACAAAAATTTCCGTAACTGTACCTGCTCGCTCGGTCATTCCACTGGCATTACAAACTTTATTCCGCAATGACATGATATTTATATTGAGTCTTATTTATTGACTACTATTTTCATAGAGTTCCAGAAGCTTAGGCTTTGGCTTTCTAGTATCTTTGACGTGTTTTAGGAGTTTTTAAAGGCTTTCTTTTTTGTACTGGTGTCTTCTGTAATGTGATTGGCACTACCAATTTGATACTAGACTAGTAGTACTGTTTTGCTAATTTGATACTGTCTTACAGACACCATAAGATCTGCTTGGAGGTTACACCAAAGGAAAGTTTGCATGGCCTTGCTCGAAGATATTCAAAGACAACAGAATCGAAAAACAACAAAAGGACAGACAGTTTTCAAGGAATGTTCCAAAACCAAACAAATCGGAGTCACTCATCTCTGCGGGGGGTGAGAAAATCTTCTTAAAAATGAAAAAGATGCCGACTCGGCAGGTAGGAGGAATGTGGTAATAGTCTTACACAGTCGTGCCGCAGGAACAACAGGAACAACAAAGGCGGCCTAATTTGGTGGCACCTTTCTTATTCAGATGTGCCAATGTGAAGGTGTTAGTTAACGGGTGGGATGTTAATTGGGAACCGTGAGAAGCCGTCAAAAGTATTCATGAGGGATAAGACTCGATTCGCTATTGAGAAAGGAGAGCAAATTACCTCGATCTTAGGACACAAAGGATTACATTAGGAAATACACCTAACTGTCACTTCATTATGGCAATGTAATTACGTTTTCTTAGTATGCACTTAGACAGCTGGTACTAGTACTTTGCGGAGCAACTAGCATTGATGAATTTCTTTCTATCTTCCAACATTGATTCAGATCATGAACGTTCAATCAACATTTGGCATAAGAAGGTTGAAATTGCATGCGGGTACGTGGTTGGTAGTTGGATAGTCCATCTCCCTTCTTCCCCCATGGACAGACGAATCTCGAAACCAAGTCGGAATGAATGGATTGGTGAATAAATAGTCGTCGACGTGAGCCTAACGAGGCCGGTACCCAGGCTAGCCCCTAAAAAAATTGAAAAGGCATCGCCTGACGCTTCGTGTTTTGTTTTTGTTTGTTTGTTTGTTGTTTTGTTGTTGTTGTTATTTTTACAAAATTAAAAGCGGGACGGGCAAGTGATATTACCGTAGCCTGGGTGTCATTCTCCATAGTTATACATGTATAGCTTCTGTCAGGCTATGGGAAGCGGCTGGAAAGAGTACAAATTTTCCAAATAGACAGATGACATGCCACGGGAGTTGGTCCGCTAGTACCAAAGCCTCGGAGTGCAGGCCATTCAGGTGTGCAACCAAACTTATTACCAGACCATGTGTGCAACCACTCACCATAAAAGAACCAAGCATGTGTATATTATAGGTGAGTATAATAATCGCAAGAAGGGCCAATATATCATAGAACCAAAGGAAACATAATATGTAAACCACGCTTAATGCCCAGGGGCCCCTCATGGCGAGAAATAATGGTGGGAACGGACTTGGCACAATAGACGCGAACGAACGACATCGGTAGCGAGTATACCAGGGGAATAACTCTACCGGGACCGAGCAACAAATCATAGTTTCCCAGTCAGGAGGGTTTCCAGTATAGCTGACCTGGAAGTTTCAATCAAGGAAAATAGTATATGTTATGAGATAGGGTTGATTGAACTTCCTGCATTAAACGAATAACTAGAGAATTGACTTTGAAAATCCAGTTTTGTCGCCCTGAAAATAATGCAGCGATACAGCGTCTACCTGGATACAGTTAACATCGGGGAGGTTTCATTGACTATGGCCGTATGGGTGCTATGTACGTGTACATTGTAATTCGATTGGGATTAACAACGACTCCCACTCTTTATCATTTAGTGAATGGGTATCAATTTTCCATTTACGACTGTGTTTCCGCTGTGTGGACACAATGATGACGTACATTTCACTTGCGATGCTGTACAATAGTCAGATTAATGTTATACATATTTACCGCCTAGGACCCCACAAGGCTGCAAAACGGTCGGTCCCTTAATACTCCTGGGCGCTATTCCACCCTGCAGGGCTCATTATCATTCATGACCCGTCCCTCGGGAGTTCAGTCCCAAAACCACGTCGTACTTGACCCTGGGTCGTTCCAGCGCCACCTCTGACCCGAACTGTCTTATTTGTGCCCGCCCCTGTCTGGAGGGGATTCTATGCCTGGCTTTCAAACCTCCAAAATCTGTTCAAAACACATTCCTATTTCTAACTGTAATTCCCTTTGGCAGTGCCTTGCACCAACCATGGCAAAGCATAACACATTGCTAATTTGCATTGAACATAGAGTTCTTAATTTACCATCATCCCCACTTAGGTTAGGTGTGAATTGTCATGCTTCAAGTCTTTTGTATCCACTGGTCAACTGTTTACTGAAATTCGCCCAAACAGGTGACGTTGCTGGGAAACTGAAACAAGCAAACCTAGGAAATACCAGTACCTAGGTGCAAATAATATGCAGGTTTCTACATTACGTATCACAATGAACGGTTACCTAGTACAAAATCATGAGACACACGTCATTCTGTATTTTCCTGGCTTTCCAGGGTGAGATATTTAATTGTCATGTTCAACTGTACATCTGGGTTCTGTCTAAACCTGAGTTCGTTACACGATAGTCTCTTTTTTATTCATTAGCTCTCAATTTACATACATAGTCATATCCACAAGTCTGTGTATTCTCCATGCCTCCTACCACTCCAAAACCAACCTGACAGCTACATTGCTGAGTCATACAGTTCAAAACACCAGCTGTCGTATCTTCAATTCTGTACTTGTAATACAAGTAGACAGCAAACCAGGATCAATACATTCTTTCCACCAGGCAGACAGGTCACTGAGTTGTGTTTGCACAATTCCAAGGCAACTGACACGGGCAGAATATTTTCCTTCTGTCCCAATCTTTAAGTACATTAGGCCGGGTTAAGACTGTGTACAAGCCCTGAATAATAATCAGTGTTTCCAAGCCACTTTGTTGGCACTCTAACAATAGTTATTGCTTTGTAGTTTTTCTGTGTGCTTGTCCCTCTAGCCTAAATGATGACTGCCATACCTTGTTGTTGTACCTACTGTCTACCCTAGTCTGTATAAAGACATAGACTCTGTATGGCTGGGGTGTCTGCATTCCTACCTACAGTTGTATAGGCTGGTACCTGTTTGCAAACATACCAAACCTGGAGAGGGGGGGTCAGTCCTGTGTTGTTTACTGGGACCTTACTGAGCTGGGTCAGTCTATTTGTCCTGCCTACCATGATCTCAACCAAAGCACTGATGTTTGTTACACATTTTCCTCCCTGATTGTGACCTTTGGTCAAATGCACTGCAGTTTCCTAGTAGGTGTTTGTTGGGAACTACAATGTTAGTGAAACGCATGTTCCATTTTTAGTGACCTATGACATCTCCTGACCCTTGACCCTGTAGCTTGACCCTGCTCCTACTTTCCAAGCAACTTGCAACCATGACGGTATTGTGACCTATCAGCCTAAGAGAGAGACTCTTGGCTCTGGTTGAGTTAGGATTACAGCCTGTACTGTGATGTTTATGATAGAAATCTCTGCTGTTTGACCCTTCATCTAGAGCTTGACCTGTGCCAGAGGCCGAGGTTCAGGACACTTAACCTGGGGAGCTGCATGATCCTCTCCAGACCAGCAGTGGTGATCTTGGTGCAGCCGTACAAGTCTATGTTAGTGAGCTGTGTCAGGTTATCGGCTATGAGTCCCAGGCCCTTGTCCGTTATCTTGTAACACTGCCCAATGTCCAGGGTTGTCAGTTCGTGCATGGACCGTACCATCCTGTTCAACCCCTCGTCGCTGATGTTGCAGGACCCCAGGCTGAGGCTCTTCAGGTGGAACAGTCCGTGGGCAATGTGGCCCAGAGCTGAGTCACCAACCTGCAGAACAGAACAAGACAAGGATATTTAATAAAGCTACCCCAAACATTTATAGGGTAATTGTTAATCTGAACTGTTTCTATTACCTAAAAGAACATAAAGATGAAAAGAATGGAAAATCTATAAAATGGGAGGTATTTTTGTCATGTACTCTTGTCAATAAAATCTAAAAATCTAAATTATCACATTTACTACAAATTGACTAAAAAATAATTCGTTCTCTAGTTCTGTCCCAGGTAATATTTCACCAGCCATTTGTCACTAAAAGCAGACTTTGCCTGGCCCCTTTTCTGGAACACTCTACAAATAACAGCTATCTTCCTGCACCAGATGGTGGTGAGGCCTACTCTACATGTGCCGCCAACCAGCAGTGATAGAAAAACATCTCTCCTGCAGCCCTCCTTCAGATCATGTGCATTAATCACCTTACTGCTCAAGTGCTGCACTTCATCATACACCTGTCATCTTCCCCCTTTTGTGCTACATCACGGCAGTAATGGCTTTTTACTTCACCCACACCTGCCAGCTATGAAGGGCTCTTCAATTTCTCTACAAATGGTCTCTAGACCTTCACTGTCTTCTCTCTCCAAGGAAATTTTCAGGTGTGTCACATTTCTCACAACGTGAGCTCACGCTCAAGTCGATACATTACTAGTAATACTACTGCATAAATGGCAACCTTGTGTGCTTCAGGTAGGTAAACGGGCGAGGGGTGAACCAAATTACTCAAGAAGAGTCCATCAGAGCACACTTGGGTAGTTGGGGAGTATGCCTGGATTACTTTCACGTGAAGAAGCCGCACCATTTGAGCTAACTGCACGCCAATATTCCATCCTTGACCCATCACCCTAGGCAATACTGACCATGACCCCGAAATGTGTGCATTCTAGAAGTACCTGCCCTGGGCATGTTTCATACATGTGCATGAACAAGTGATGGAAACAGTCAATAGCTGCACAATCTGTTTTTCTCAAGAACCATTTCAAAACCTGGACTACATGTACCTCATGGGACAGCTGAAAATCTACATTGCACTTTACTTTACAAAGTACGAACTAATAAAAACTCTATCCTAACGATTTACAATTAATTTAACAGCCATTATTTTTTTTCCAACACAAAAAACATGGATGCAAAAACAAGAACATTACCAGGTCACGTGGAAAACAGGTGCATGTATTGCGCATTGAGATCTTACTTAATTTTTTTCAGCAGAAACAATGGGTTGCTTTTTCCATGGAGGCATAAAAGTGTGAGTTATTCCTAGATTGGGTCAAGTGGAAAATAGATGTGTACAGGTTGACATGTTGGTAAGTTGTACCAGCTGGTGTTCAGTAGTGGGTGTGTAATCCTTCACACTGTGACATGTGGCACACATAAAGCTCGCACGGATAACCCCCCTCTTCCGGACATCACTTCTCTAACCTTGCTCACACCTGCTGGACTATGTAGGACTATCATATGGAACTGGTAGGGTACTGCTAGGAGCTACGGACAGGACCTGGCTTTGGTAAACACCTCAAGTTGTTGAGAGAGAGAAAGAGAGATTTTTCCAGTTTCTACTACTAATTCTAGTTAGCTTGTAGAAGGACTACTTGGCAAAACTTTGTAGTGTAGCCTGGGTACCATCCTGAAATAGTTACTGTGGGTAGCGACTATGAAAGCACGGATGGTCTGGGGCAAGCTCCTTCAGGAAATTTTGAAATCTTGACCCTCTGAAACCCTATTTCCAGTATTTTGAGGGGCAAATTTTGCTGGTAGACTAGAGCTTAGTTTACTGACATTTTTGTGTGTCAAAAATGGTGGGCTGGGCAAAAGTTTTGCCCATTATCAGCGACAAAAAAACTTCAAAATGACAGGCAGATGCTGGCTAGAACACTGATACATCGTACTGAAGTTGATACAGAAGACACACTGGGAAATCCCGTCTGTCAAGCCTACCTTATCACAGAATGAGACATCGAGGTGGGAGACTGTGGCGCTCCCGTCCGCCAGATGTGCGATCCCGATGTCGGAGATGTTGTCACAGCTGCGCAGGTTCAGCTCCTTAAGGCTGCTCATCTTGGCAAGGTACATCATGCCTCCGTCTGAGATCCCGCAACAGAAACTGTGCAGACAAAATCAAAGAATCCCATTTAAAACCTGGAACAGTTTATGAAGATATGCACTGATATGCACTTTACACTAAAATTTTCTCACATACAAAATGTTTCATGCCAAAATACTGAACAGAAACTGTGGAGACAAAATTGAAAAATCTGATTTAAAACCTGGAACAGTTTAGGCATAAATTAAGATATGCACTGATATGCAATGCACTTTACACTACAATTTTCTCACATACAAAATGTTTCATGCCAAAAGTACTGAACAGAAACTGTGGAGACAAAATTGAAAAATCCCATTTAAAACCTGGAACAGTTTAGGTATAAATTAGATATGCATCATAATATGTAATGCACTTTACACTACAACAATTCTCTTACATACAAAATGTCTTATGCTGAGAGTACTGCACTTTCTGGAGGAATCTTAGAACTAGTTTGTTTAAAGTAGAAAGCCTCTCAGCCTAGACCCAGAGTCTCAACTGTCGTGGTGTTGGAGACATTTTTATCAGCAGTTGTTGCTACTAAAGTCATACTGGTTCCCATGTATGGGGTAAAACATTTCCTATTAAATGTCCGATAATAAAAGTCGTGGAGTTAGCCAGATTATTCACCCAGCTAGCACCAAATATAATTTACCACGAGACTAACTTTTCTGTGTAACTGTCACTGTTGGCAAGTTCCTGCAGGGTGTGTTTTGCCAGCGGACAAATGGTGTTTATATGACTGAGGAGTAACCAGGGAGAGAGCGAGCAGATTTGCCTGCCTGCTGCTGACCTTGCCCCAGTTGGCAGGTCCAAGGGGGAGGGCAGCCGGTGTACAGTTACACTAGGCTGGCATTGGGGCACCTAAAAAGGCATATTTCATATCACATTCCCTAAAAGTACACCGGATAACTATGATTTTTGAAGCTAGCATTTGATGTCAGACACACATAACTAGTAGTGGGTAGGTAGCAGGAGCTTGTATGTGACAAATACTGTCCAATAATCAATGACGTGAAGTTACGACTACCAGGGTTAAGCCTAGGTATGGAGCAGGTCAAATGTATCCACCTAAATGTGTGTGTGTGTGGTATCAGTATCCAGGGTTTAACTGCCTTATGCCGGCTTCACATCAGGGTTCCGCAGAGTGATATTTCAGTTACGTTACCTACCGCATCTTTCTATCTCAATCGGTCGAACAGACAGGACTTATTTTGGTGCCACAACATCTACTTGGAGTAGAGATCTTGGGATCAAAGGTCACGCACACAAATGCATCCTGTCCTTTCTATCCCTATCTCCAGTCCAGGCAAACTTAAGTAAATCAACTACCAAAAGATAAGATATTCCTGGTAAACCTGGCATGTTTAGTATCTACCCCTGGTTACTCTAGGTTGGTATCTGGTGCGCTTTATTTGTGTATGGTCTTATCGCTGGCACTTGTATACAAAACTGCTGGGTTTGGCCCATACCAGTATTGTGATTTCCTTCGGCACAGAATGAGTCACTGCCTAGTTACCATAGAACTGTGGTGTCAACTGAGGAAAAACACTTACTGTAGTGCAGTGCTACACATCTGATCTTGACAGGCTTTCTTTTTCTCTTATAATTTATAAATATGGATGCCTTCCTCCTTACTCGTTACTGTACAACAAAAGGGGGTCCACACCTGCATAGGGAAAATGGCTTGTGGCCAAGAGCAAAAAATTCTTTATCAAGTCTGTCCAAGACTTCGTTCTTACTACAAAATAAAATTCAATCTCTCCTCTTCATCTACAGTACAAGCTAGGTATATTTTCAAGAAATCAGCAGTTTTCTATTTGTGGAAAGTAGTACCAGCCATGATACCATCAACCTGCACTGCTATTTTGCCATTTGTAAAACTTTGGAATCAGCATAACTTTCAGTTGAACAGCTAAATCAAGATGACATCCTGCGTACCTACTCTGTTACCTGCAAGTATGTTCTGACTGGTCCATGAGGCTCATAGAACTTTGTCATTAGTTTCTCTGCTACAATTTGGGTAAAGACTACAAGGATTCTCTGGAAACCTGTGGTCATCAACATGTAGCAAGTTGGGCACTAACCACTTCAATACAGTTTACTTCTGTTTGTCAGCAGCACTCCTTTTAAAGTTGACTACTCTTCCAATGGCCTGGCATGTTTTCAAGATCCTAATTCAAAAGGTGTATCTTTACATACACTATTCCTTTCCTAGGACAAGATGTTTAGATGGCAGACAGCATAACATACAAATATAGAATATAACATGGTGTCACACTTGGTACCAGCCCAAACCGTGGGAGCATGAACTGGGACCATGTTGTATTCTATATGTGTACTATATTTCCAGAATCTGAATAACATCTTGAACTCCGTCGTCGGAGTCTCCTGTCGATTAATGACCAGTTTGGAGGTAGCTAATGAACAGACATGCTGTTTCAATGTGTACCCATGGCCAGATTATGGTCTAAAAATTAGTGCCAACTGCTGGGATTCCTACAAATTAGGCTCAGGTTTCTGACTTGCTCCTTGGGCACAACAACTAAAATCTGGACTGTCTTGAATGTTGGTCTCCACAGTATTCACTATGACATACCAACAAAACTATTTAACTCTATACTAGTACTAGTAATATAGAGTAGACTATGAGTGCTAAGGACTGTTTGCTACTAAGTAAGTGCATTGTTTTGCTGCATGAATAAAATTTGAAGTGGGATGTTTAATAACTCTTTTTGTTATTACTAATATTACCCCTTTCATGACAACCTTTGGTCTATATGTGAATTTCATTGAAGTTTAACTCCTGATAGGGTTATATGGGGGTAATTAGAAGGAACTTCTGAAAAAAATTACTGGTCAATATCCTTCTCCACAGAAAAATTATGTGTTTGAAACTTTCAGCACACAGAAAAAAAAAAGGATTGCAAAATTGTAAACCTTATATACTAATCAGACCCTCCATCGAGTGCTAATGTACCTCCCCTGGTGTCATTGGATCTCCCCCGCGTGTAAAACATCCAACTACACTGCATAAATTTATCTGTTTGGTTCACTCTACTACCAGTAAAATACAGCACGTCAGAAAAACCTGAACAGATCTTTCGGCTGTATTTGAGTGACAGAGTGAGTCAGGGGTCGTTGTCTCCTAATCCCTGTCGTATTCATTGTGTTTGAAGCTTGTTTGTGACTATGCCCCCAACCCCCACACTGTACCCATACAAATGCCGACTAGTTGGACTGGTCTGTCAGGCTCGCATGTATGGAGGCGGGCACGGCGCATGGCAGCGCGCCAGGGCAGTTTCACAAACCGAGAACTAGACCAAACCCCGCCGTTCAAACCCCGCGAGTCGTCTCCTTACCTCAGGTTCAGACATTTCAATCTCTGCAGACCCTTTGAGACATGCTTGAGTGCCAAGTCCGTGAGTTTTTGACAGTCTTGCAGGCACAAATGTTCCAAGTGCAGACACCCCTCCGCCGCGTTCTTGCTCATGCCTGACAAATGTCCGATGCCAACGTCTGAGATGTGTCTACAACTTCTCAGGTTGAGATACCTGAGTTTCAGCAGTCCCCAGGCACACAGTAACAATCCAGTGTTAGTGATATTACAACAACCCCCCAAGTCTAACCGCTCCAGGTTTTTGAGGTACTGAGCAATGCGTCCTAGACTGGAATCGGTGATCTGTTTACACAAACTCAGGTTGAGTTCCGTCAGGCTCGGCACGTCCTGGGTGAACGCGTGGCTCAGTCCGATGTCTGTGAGGTTGTAGCACCCGCTCAAGTTCAGCGACACGATGTTGGACATACCTTGAACCACGTAGCTCAGGCTCCTACGAAGGGACAGTATTTGAACCTTACGGATTCCGCGGGAGACGAGGCTCGGGAACAAAGACGGGTTGGCCCGACGGAGATGTAACCTCGCCTCGACGCCTCTCCACACAGACCTGGAGTACGCGGCGTCCCGCCATCTCCTACACACCTGCGCCGCTCTACCTCTGTCCCGGACGTCTAGGTGGCTGAAGATCATCGCTAAGATCTCGGGAAAGAGACATGAAATGGTGATTTCATCCATTTCGGGGTGGGAATCGAACCCCACACCGCCGGGTTCCTCTCCACAGCCGCACGGTTTCCTGCCACTAACCCCGCAGCTCACCCCTGTCACGTGACGCGCTAATCCCGTATCGCATTTCCCGCGAGATGCGCGCTGATTGGCTGGGAGCGTAATCTGACCTGGGCGCCCCGCCGATATCTGATGTGCATATTGACAGCTCCAAGCTTTACCGAGCCGACACGCTGGGTATACCGTCAAAAGAAACCACTTTTTATGGCGCTTCACCTGTAGATTTTACTTTACAGAGTGTTCAAACAAGTCAACATGGTCCGCCAGATAGTCGTGCATTACGAGAACACTCTAACATCGCCGGAATATAAGAATTCCTGAGGTTTTCTGTGTTTTGAGTTGGGACGGTTCGTGAATCAGGACGTGCCTTGACAGTCTCCTTGGCAGATTTGGACTGTTTGAGTTAGGGACAGTTCATTCACAGTCCTTAGCGGTGGTTTGACTTTGGACTTATGCTAGAAAATATTGCACACCTGACAAAAGTTGTGGGCATTTCATAAGTATGCCATATGAGATCATATGAATTCGAAGAAGGATTGTTCATAAAATGATGATGTTCATAAAAGACAAAGAACACACACACACGCGCGCACACACAATATTTTATTTACATATTCTTTTTTCCAATGTAATATCCGCGGTTGTCATCCCTACCCTCCAAATTACTTCAAAATGGAGGATTTTGCCCGAGGGAGAGGGGCATGGCGTTCCGAATATTTATAATTTTTTTCTATATCTAGCAATGCAAGCAAAGTTCTGGGCCATGGGCTGTACACAATTATTATCATAACTGCCATGAAAGAAAATCATTAACAAAGTACTAGTATGCATGCGAAAATGGCAATTTGATTTGAAAATGCTCGAAGGTATTGGTAAGCTTAAAGATCTTTGTGAAATTATTGGCGGGAATTCCTATATGAAAGGAATGGCATACAGCAAAATGTCTGGAAGTGTGTAAGCTAAGGGTAGACAAATTACAATTTGCGCAAAGTTGTTTTCTGTTTCAATCCTGTAGTTGTCTGCCGCATACTAGTAGTTCAGCTATTTCTAACTTCCAAGTCATTTCCCTGGCCCTTATTTACGACGTAACCACCAGAGTATTGGGTTGGAACACTGTATCTTGGTTTGACAGATTTACAAGTTTGACTATCGGAATGTTCCACTGCACAGGTGTGAAGCGTCGACAGACCGGAAACGGAAACGATCCCACAATGCCCCGGGCCATTTTGACACACTGAAATAAACACTTTCCTTTACGATCAATTATTTGGAATGACCAATGAGGTTTCGGGTTAGTTGATGTAAATCTATACCCCTGATAACACCCTTCTCCCTGCTTGAATTGAAGACAATGGATCCTCCCCGGATTGGTTTTCTTGTAAATGATCAATAATTGGAAGTACAGTGATACTAGTAATTGATCATACTTCATCTAACCACGCATCCTCAGTACGTGTCCTCACTTGCATGTACAATATGTATGACCCCCCCCCCCCAGTCTTCTTTTAGCGATCAATTTTAACTTAAAATGGTGATATACGCGTACTCTACCCACATCCTCCCCGGTAGAGGATATACGATCCTCCCCCGCCTGGCTGTCACACTGCACACCAGCTGCACACGGACAAAGCCTCCCGGCCCACGCGGAATGCATCAGCCGCTGGGCAGACAGAGAAGGAGAGGAGAGATACCAAACTACATCGACCCCGTCCCGATACTTGGTAGCCTCCCTCGCAGACGTCTTGGAGTGCTTGGTGCATTTACATAGCCTCTACCAGGCTTTGGGAGTAGAAAGCCACCAAATAGAGAGATAGCTCCAGCAGACCAACTCCCCTGGCCAGCTCTCTCTCTCTCTTTGGCCTCTTTTTCTTCTACTCTTTACAGCCACCCCCCGAAGCCTGGTAGAGGTAAGCATTTATAGAGAACCTTAGCCAGTGGAAAAAACGCATTTCAGAACTCCCTTCCCCAAAAAAATGATCGACTCTACCGCTCCAAGAAGTCTGGGAATGAGGCTATTGCCATTTCGGTAGTATTGCTTCTTCTCTTGATCTTCAAGGAGAAATTCCCCCACGGGATCCCCGTACAAACACAGGTATTGTGAGCGCCCGCCCACACCTGGAGCACCGGGCAGCAACGGGACGTTCTCCCGGGCTTCTTCAGCCGCGAGGTGAAGATGCCAAGTTGCCAAGTGATGATGTGAAAATATTCTGGACGCGGGAGAACAGGGAATATGGGCTGTCGTTACATACTGATATACAAGTGAACCGTTGTTGTTGGACTGAGGTCTGGTGCATTTATGGCTTTTTCATTGACTAGTCGACTAGGGTAGTGCTGGAAAAAAGCATGCAACAGAACCTGTTGTTGGTCAGTTGTCTAATATACTAACGGATGTATTTCCAACTTTTCGAAGAAGCCCAAAGACGGACTTTGCTTGGAACAAAAAAAATATCGAAGTAAGATCGCGCTTCGTGATGAGTAGTTACAGTGCAATTGAAATAGTACAAACATGATAAGTGGAAAGACATACGTTTTTTTCTTCGAATGGGCTCCTCTCTGTATTGGAATGCTTAGTCATATGTATATACATATACAAACTTAGCCTTAGGGTATGCAACCCATTGGTCATTTTACTAAGCCCCATCGCCGTAAACGTCACTCGCTATTATTTCAAATTTAGTCAGGTCTGAATAATTTACTCTGGCTTGTTATCTGACCAGAGTATTTAGGTGAAAGGAAATCGGTCAAAAATAATTGCAACCCCCAGTCATACGACACGATTCGGGGGGAAATTAGTCAAGACTTCACCGTCACACATTCAGAACCTTCCCCTAACCTAATGTTAGCTGAAGTTCGCCGTCTGACTGGTTGAGGCCACGCCTATCTACCTTTCTATACGAGTCGAATTGAATTTGAGTGAAATTTGAGCTCGAAAGATCAGAACTCAAAGGTCCACTTCTTATCTAAAGGCCCAAGATTTTTCTTAAGAAGTTGGACTGATTTGTATCACCAGCGGGGCTTGAATCCTAGAAAAAACTGCTCGCTTTGTCATTGAATAAAACGTTATCTCTGATTTTGCCTTTGAAAAACGCAGGAAATTCCATTTCACAGGTTCAAATTTCAAAATTTTCAGGGGGAGCATGCCAAATCAGGAACCACGGGCCTTTGGCGCTTGCTCATCCCTCGGACAGTGGGAAGACCACCCCCCCCCCCCACAGCGGCAAAATCCTGGCTACTGGCATGCATATTCGGCTATGTGTGACAGGGGCTTTAGTCTTCAGATCTTGCATTCAGTCCCTGTAGCTTTCTTTGGGATTCTTCCAAGCCAGTGTGACAGGGCTGGCCTGACAAGTTCAACGCCATGCCCCTGGAGGTCCGGGGCATGTCGGGAAGTGTCAGGCGTGCAGCTGCTCAAACGTCTGACAAATAGTTAGTGACAGGTGGGCGGTGGACTAAAAATTGAGTAGGCTGGAAACACGGAGGAAAAACTAAAACAGGCTTTCGCACTACCCTCCCTCGCAGACTTCTTAGATTGTTTATTTTTTTCGGGGAGCGACGCGAGTTTCTAGTATTCCGGGGAGAGACGGTTTCGCCGCCTGAAGTCCCTACTAGGCTCGCGTCACTGCCTGAAAAAAATCAACGTCGCCGCCTAGGAAGTCTGCGAAGGAGGGTACTTTCGCACCGCTCTTGCATAGTCCCCGCAAGGAAAACCGACAGGAAAACTACAATGATAGAAAAACAACACTTCACCCACTCCTATACACACACACACACACACATACTGGTAACCAGCTAGCGTTTACTTCCATCCTTCGCCTACCTGTACCGAGACAAGAACAACAGCTTGACTTTATCCACAGCGATTTTTGTAAAGTGTATATATCATATTCGATATGACTTATTGATCAGATAGAAGCTCTTTGGGCCGCTTTTCCTTATCCTCTGCACACACTGCATTTTAATTTTTTTTCTCTCAGCAAGGACGTTTAATATCAGCGATCATAGCTCATACGACATTGTGAAACATCTCAGAATGTTAATTCGCCCTTCACGGTTCTTTTGTTCTCCGTTCAAGGGGAGAATATTATAGCGGATTGCGGATATGCCGATGATCTAACAAAGATAAACTATACCTTTATGGTCTATTTCCTGATCGCGATGATTTTGATGAATGAGACGATAAATTCTCCTGATGGTTACCATGGTGATAAGTTAGGCCTCTCATGCGCGAAGCGGGCCCAACTGCGCAGGGCTTTGTTTTAGTTTGTGATGGATGGAAGGAACGGTTGGCGGACTTCATTGGTGGTCTTAAGTAACGGTTTACGGGGGTTCTATAATCAGGCCAAGGCGGAAGAGATAAAATTTGATCGACGAATACCAGTTTCTCTGTTTTCCGACGGTTGAGAAGATATGAAATTTCGTATCATTTGCAACCCAATCTTCGAGTTATGTTAGTGTAGTGTACAAAAATAAAAACACATGAATATTCCCGTCGCTGTTATAAAATATCTCCACATGATATCGCGATGGTTTACTGAGATACATGTAGTTATGGGATATTAATACATGATTTCATAGTCACATGGAAGGGCTGGGAATTAAGAATTTGTGTGTATTGTATTGCCTCAGGGAGTTTTCAAATACTGAGATTTTACATATAGAGATGGAAACAGGAGATATGCCAGGAAATGGATGCAGTATACAGTGCTGTAAGGCTAGCGGCAACAAGTTTCATAATCATGTTCATTTTTATTTTCCCTTCCATTCCCTCAATCAAATCCAAAGGCTGATCATTTTCTTGATTTCAAGTCGCAAGTTTTGGCAGTTTGCAACTCTGGTCGGTGGCCTGCTACTTAGTCCACGATGTTTTTCTCAGCAAAAAAGTGTGTTTTAGCAGAAAAGTAACTCTATCGGCCATCACGTGTGGCTTGCAGCAAAACCGTACTTATATCAGAGCATCTCTACTAGCACTCAGGCCGTCACAGACCACTGAGGAGGCCTACACGAGTAAGTGAGTCGCAAGTAGCCGATGCTGAGTGCATCTCCCACT